AGAGAGAGAGAGAGAGAGAGAGAGAGAGAGAGAGAGAGAGAGAGAGAGAGAGAGAGAGAGAGAGAGAGATCGCATCGAGGTAAATAGACAGGGAAGAACGGCAAGGACGAAGAGGAGGAGAAGGAAACAGTCTGAGCAGCAAAAGGAGAGTGAGGAAGTGGAAACTGTGGAGAAAGAAGTGGAGACTGAGGCGACGGCGGCGGATGAGAAGGGGAGCATAACGACACTACCTTCTTCCCCCGAATCAAACACTCGGTCATCATAAATTTATATGAGCCACGTTCTTGGCCGCATGAAGTCATACTGGTTGGTTGACCTTGGGTATGAGGGCAGGCGGAAGGCAGCACCTGGTCACCAAGACTTCATCTAGCCAGGAATGCAGCTGTTGTACATTCATGACAGCTGATAAAAAGGATTGAATGGCACACACATGTCTTTGTTGATGAAAAGACCCATATGCAGTTGGACTCATAGATAAGATAAGGAGAAGGGCAAAGCTGAGACCAAGGTTAACCAGTACACACATGTAACTGTCGGTGAAAAGATGATGATTTTTGGATTCTGGTGTTTATACTTTCCAAAAACTGTTGTAGTTTTCAAAAAGAAAAGATGACAAATTCAGATCCTGGTGAATACAGGAAAGAACTAGGGGGGGGGGGGGGGGGGGAGGGGGGGAAAAGGGGCAAAAAAGGGGACGGGAAAAAAGGAAAGAAATGGGATGAGAGAGAGGACGCGGATGAGGACAGACGAGAAGAGAACGTCAACACCGAGGAGGATGGCGAGAAAGTCAAGGAATGTTTATGAGCCACACCATTATGACTTCATTAGCTAGGAATGCATGTCATATACACTCAAATTGAATTCCACCCACAAATTCAGGGTCGAGGAAGAAGACGATGGCATAGGCGAAGACGAAGATGGGCGCAGAAAGGGGAAGATAAGGACAAAGGGAAGGATAAAGTCAGCCGAAGCCGGATAATGGGTCCGGTACATCAAAAGATTCTGTCTAAGTTTCATTGAAAAGAAAGGAGAGGAGGAAGTGAAAAGAGGAGGAGAACTCTATCTATGTAAAGACGGCATGAAGGAGATGGAGTCATTGTGCGGCAATTTTGCCCAAACCGCCAGTACACAGCCCCAGCCTAAAATTTTGGAGTCCCGAGGCTACCGGGCCACAATGACTGGTGGCACCAGCCAAGAAAGAAAGCAAGTGTATCACTGGCGGTTTGGCAAAGCTTGGCGTGCAGTGTGGCTCGGAGATGCCCGGTTGTACTGGTGGTTTGAGAAGAGCAGTTGATATCGTCAAAATTATTCCTTGCATCATGAGATAATTTAACTTAGTTTAAGGCTTTAAGCGGATAAGTGGATAAGTGAATACAGCCAACTGTTTGTGTTGGGCACAATTAAGTTTATCAGACTTTATTTATTATAAACATAACATATCCTCAAAAGGAACTTGAGTTTTTTTTTCTTTTTTTTTCCAACTGGAGTTTGCAGTTCCCCAGAATGTAAGGAGTTGTATGCTTTTCCAAAAACTAATAGAAAACAGGACCTAGAGTGATGTGGGCGTGGGGTGACTAGAGGGGGGGGGGGGGGGGGGGGGGGGGGGGGGGGGGGGGGGGGGTCTTGCTCATGGAATGGCCTCACATCACAGTCATTCCTTCCTATGGAAGGCATCAATGCTGTCAGGGCTCCCCGGTTCGTAACGTGTGGAAGCTTTCTAAGTGGGTATTTTATGGGTTCTTCTGACTTGCCGGTCGACTAATGCTCCCTAGAATGGAAGTGGAGTCAGGGCCATAAGCACCTGCTTTCCCAGTTCTTAACGAAAAAAAGAGGAAAAAGGGGAGCTAGAGTCATGACAGGGGAGCGTGAAACGCCGTGAAAGCATGTGTCTCGAAAGTGTACAGACAGATGCTAAGAAAAAAGGGGCTGTGGAGTCGTATGCTTGAGCTCTGTTGAAAAGGTTCTCATGTTATTTTAAACTTAACCGCATACGTACGCTCATACTACTTCCCGGATGGAATCTGGTTGTGTTCGCTGTCAGATACATCCTGTCCTGGTGTGAATGTGCCCTAACTTATCTCTGACTTGTCACCATCTAAAAGATTTGGTTTCCATGAGAAGGACTAATCACTACCTTGCGTTTTGCAACCTGTCACTATGATGATGATGTCATCTGAAACTTCAAATTTGGGATGCTTCTGCTCTCCACCTGGCCACTGGGGAGAACAGGGTCTACAACACGGATCACAAGTTCATTACATTTCAGGTAAGGGAAAATGTCGCCATTGGAAAGGAAGAATCTGATAGCAAGTGCTTGTTTTCATCTTTTTTCACCCTTCTTCTTCTTCTTCTTCTTCTTCTTCTTCTTCTTCTTCTTCTTCTTCTTCTTCTTCTTCTTCTTCTTCTTCTTCTTGTTGCACCCTTCTTCTTCTTCTTCTTCTTTTTCTTCTTCTTCTTCTTCTTCTTCTTCTTTTTGCACCCTTCTTCTTCTTCTTCTTCTTCTTCTTCTTCTTCTTCTTCTTCTTCTTCTCCTCCTCATTCTTCTCGTTCTTCTCCTTCTTCTCCTTCTTCTCCTCCTTCTCCTCCTCCTCCTCCTCCTCCTTCTTCTCCTTCTCCTCCTTCTTCTCCTCCTTCTTCTCCTCCTTCTCCTTCTTCTTCTTCCTTCTTCTTCCTTCTTCCTTCTTCGCTCTTCTTCTTCTCCTCCTCCTCCTCCTCCTCCTCCTCCTCCTCCTCCTTGTGATTCTTCTTCTTCTTCTTCCTCCTCCTCCTCCTCCGTGTCCTCCTCCTCTTCCTCCTCCTATTTGGTGTGAACTGCACGATGGCAAAAATGGGGCAGTCCGGGGGGAGTTCGTATAGGTACTTCCCCACAATTTGAGTCGCCAGATTGTTGGATACTGTGGAATGAATCTTTGTGTACCAGAATATGGATTCAATAATCATGGCAACATGCTACAGGGCATGCATAGACACGTCACAGACAAGCAGGATGGAGGGAGAATTGACATCCAAGGAAGATTAGGCGACAACACTAGTGTAACTCCCGAGCGCAAGTTGCCTCACAAAATTTATCGAAACAAACCCAACCATAGGTCACAAGTAGGTGCATAGAGCCATAGGTCACAAGTAGGTGCATAGGGCCATTGACATGGAGCACAATGGCGAAGAAGACCCCACATATGTTTCAGCCAGCTGGCCACAGCCGACCATCTTCATGGGCAGCTCATAGCAGAGATAAAAGAAAGGTCTTTACTAAGTGTTACATACTCGTGATTGTGTCAACGAGTATGGGGCAGAACCAAAGATCAACCAATATAGGATGAGCATGTATGCAGCGGAAGTCTGATAAACGGACTGACTCACATAGACTGACTCACACASAGATCACTCCACACACATACAATCGTGAGATGGTGGGGTCTGGGCCAAGCATAGACGATGCCCAGATCCCGTACACACATGCACAGATGAAAGGTGGGAGGAGAGACGAAGGAGGTGGGGGAGGTAGACAGCACCGAAGGTCACCGAGATAGAATCCGATAGGTCACCGATATGGTAGTCCAAAATGTCATCAAACAAGATCAAAATGTCGAGGACAATAAGTCACCAATGTCGGAGATACAGAGTCCAAATGTAACCGGTGTCCGAACTGTGATGCCGCCGAGTATCAACCCCAACAATCTCCAAGTCTCGAATCCGGTAAGTACCACAGCCTCATACCACCGAAGTCCAACACTGATCTCTGTCCAACTAGTATGAAGTCATCAATCTGAAGAAGAAGAAGAGGAAGTCTGAAGAAGAAGAAGAAGAAGAAGTCTGAAGAAGAAGAAGAAGAAGAAGAAGAAGAAGAGAGTCGAGGAGGAGAGAGAGAGAGAGAGAGGGGACTGGCGATGGGAGGGAGGAGAGAACCTCCGGCTCCCGATACCTCAGGCGGCTATGGCCGCCGGTCTTGCTCAGTCGCCGCTGCTGCTGCTCTGCTCGCTGCCGCTGCTGCTCCTCGTGCTCCTGCGCTAAGTATAGCGCTAGCGCTCTGGCGCTAACCATAACGCACCGCTACGTGCCGGTGGTTCGATCCCAAACTGAGGCTGGACCGGTACTTTTGTACCGGTGGGGCAGAGGCCGGCCTCTATGCTGCGAGGCCTGGCCGTGCCCTGAACCGTCAAGATTGACGGTTCAGCCCCAACCGGCGGGCGGCAGCCTCAAGAGCGCCGCCAGGCCCAAACGGTAATGTCGTTTGGGCCTGCCCGTCTGGTCTGGTCCAAGATGAGGCCTTTACGGCCTGTAGTACCCCCAAGGTCGGCCCTTTAGGCCCTACTGTGTCCCTCTGGCCCTAAGTCGGGTCCGGTAGGACCTGTGTGGCGTCAAAGATTTAACACTAAGCCTAATGTAGTAATCTACTTCCGACTGAAACTAGGACTCACACAGACTGGGTCCACAACTCAAAATGGACTGGACTAGAATTCTCAAGTAGGAACCGGTACCTTCTGGAAGGCCTAAAAAAATGATTCAATAAGTTCCTGGACCTGGAATGGTACCAACAACAAAAGAGAACCGACCCATATTCAGAGGGCCCATTGCGCGAAGCAACGTACCCAGCAGTCCCAGACCCTTCCTATCTCGATATTGAAGTTAATCTGAGCCTGATCGAAGAAATAGCCTGGGAACCCCCTGAGTTGCAATTCCGTCTTGAGGGCCCAAAGAAAAGGCGCTTCGCTTGCAGGCAGCGTTCCCATGGCCTTTGCTCTGTTTAGGAAGGATTATATGACTGCCAACTTCTGTTTCTTTCCACACACAGCAGGAGCTGAAATCTTGCAGATTTTGAAAACCAGTTCCCGTTCGGTTTAGCAGAATTTCCTAGTTCTTATTCAGTGCCTCGCAAAAAATTCTAGATGGTGCTTGACCGACTGGGAGACGGCACCCCAAATACGGCCAATGCATGTTCTCAATCATTCTTTCTAACGTCAGGTGACTGTCATAGCAATCCGACTCAAATTTCCTCAGAATTTCAGAAGCCTAGTCTTGCAGTACGTGACAAAAATTAAACCGTCACCTATTAATCTACAGCTAAACACCAGTGAAGCATCTCGACCCAGCCCTTTCAGAAACACAAATTCATTTTGAGCACACATCATGCAAGCAAGAGGACTTCCCCATAGGTATAGCAGCAGTTCATGGATCCACACATCTAGACCTAAGACCTCCTATGTTCAAGCACAGACTCGAACCGGCAACCTCGGCCTCAAGAGCCAAGTATCTTTACCACTACAGCCAGAACACGGTTCAAAAGCAGAACCATACGGTCCAAAATATCCAACCCCTTCAAGGTTGTAGTGTCCAGCTCAATGCACACCACACACAACACCACACAGACACGGGAATTCTCCCACGATTCGCTCAATCAGTACGTGACCCCCACCAGTAATCGTCTGTCCACCACACACGGGATGAACCTCTTCCTGTAGGTTAACCGGAGATTTCCACAGCAGTTCATGGATCCGCACATCTGGGCCTAAGACCTCTTCCGTGCAAGCATGGATTCGAACCAGCGACCTCGCCCTCGAGAGCCAAGTATATTAACCACTACAGCCAGGACACGGTGTCCAAAAGTCGAATGATACCGGTCGCCCAAACCTTGTTTTGCAACTTTACCTACCAATCGATGTTGTAAACGCTTTGCTTAGATCGTACACGAAGTACAAGAAGGACACAAAATCTAACTGAGTTCCAACCTACCTCACTCACTGCGATCAAACAACTGAACAGACCTACTCCCCATTTGCACACAAAACTAAAAAAATCCCTTCTCTTCGAACAAACTCACCACCCATTTTGTAGTCGTGATGATGGCTGAATGGGGTAGTTGACAAAACATTACCTCCGTGCCTGTTTTTGCCGACCCTGATTTTGACTGTGCACAAACTTTTGTTGAGCTAATTCGATCTTGTGCTTGACCGAACGCACCATTGGGTTCAACCAGGACTTTAGGGAATCGGTTGAGAAGGCTTTGGATGTTTGTTGGGATCTCTAGAGGTAGAGAATGAGAATCAGTTTGCAAATTGGTAGCCAAAACAACGAAACTTGAAGTAGAATCATGTGGACTAGAAGTAGATGGAGAAGAAGTAGAAGTAGATATATCAGAAGGAGAACCACCATGCATAGCGGAAGTAGTACTTACCACAAAAGTAGAAGGCACTTGAGTAGCACGGACAAAGGCTATGCGCAACTGTTCGTCCTCTTTGCTCCCGGCACAACGATTTGAAGAAACACATGACATTGAGAAGAGTCACGGAGGACTTGCGCGCTTTAGCCATAAGGACAGAGTGCTCGTTCCCCAAGGCATCAAGTACCACGAAGAGTGACTTTGCCCCCTCAGTTCTAACGCATTGGGATGTCAACAAGCCCGCGCTGAGAACTGCGTCGAAAGGACACTTATCGAGTACACAGAAATTCAATGTGTGTGTGACAGTTTTGTCCTCGTCAAAGGTAGTGCGCACACTTTTGACTGCATGCATGGATACGACAACCTCTTGGTTGCCCACTTGGGTCCTACAAGGGTTTTGCAATGCCACTTGCTTCATTCCCAAGCCTACCTTGTGAACCCTGTGTGGAGAATGAAAGTTAGCAGTGGAACCACAATCAACCAAAACACGGAGGTAGCGGAGGTTGATGAGAAGTTTAAAGAAGAACAACTCCGTTGTCCCTTGAGCACATTGTTGTTCCATCTCAGCCCAATGCTCTAGGTGGTAATGAAAGTTGATATCCTTAGACTCTTCCCAAGCCTCGATGTATAGGAGTCGATCTGCATTAGCCTTGGAATCAGCGGATGAAGGGGCATCAAGAGAAGGATGCTGAACAGGCTCAGATATAGTAGAGGGATTACTACTTACCGGTTAAGCCTCTCCTGAGGTAGAGTGTGCTGACAACAACTCTATGCCCATGGCTGGGTTCCCTGCAGCCGAAAACACTTGTCGACTGTGTGCCCAGATCTTTGGCAATGCAAGCAAACATTCCTCTTCAGCCTACTTTTCCCTTCACTCTCGCTAATCCGGGGATCAACCCAAGGTTTGGTTGCTGCATCCTCCGGTTTAGCTGGGATTTTGGCTCCGTTGGGGAGATGAAGGGTGTTCTTTATTGAAATCTTGTTTGGTCCTTTACCTTTGGCAAACTTAGTGGAGACTTTCAGTTTGTCACCGTGATATATGTCAGACTCGTGGATCGATGAACAACATGCCTCTGAGTCCTCCTCTTGGACGTCATCAAGGGAGGTATCCTCTACATAAAGCTCTTCATCGACCTTGGACAGTTTGTGTGCAGCAAAACGGTTGCTGCCTCCAAACCATTTGCCTCTAGTGGCCTTTGACCCACCTGGATCACTGACAAGGTCTTGAGCCTCAAGGTGGACCAGATCCTGCATAAGGGTGAGCCAGTCCATGTGTTCCGCAAGTCTGAAGCCAGGACAGTCAATTAGAGGTTTGGGAACCACACTCTTAGCCATGTTCAAACAAATGCGCAGATAGATCTAACCCAAGGGTAATGAAAAGCTTGCTGACATACTGCTGCAGATTGATCATGGAGCCTGTCCACTTGCTGCGCTTGAGATGATCAAGTTTGAGTTGTGCCTTAGCTGCAGCTTGTGGATCCTCGTAGTTCTTGAGTGTTGCTCCAGAGTGGTGACCGGCGTGGCCTTCAGCCACTTAGTCCAGTCGAGTCTAGTATAGCCACCACAGACAGCCTGGACTCCAAACCCTCTACGACTGGTTCCACATGGGTACCCATGATTGTTGATGGAGTCGCTGTCGGCGTCTCCATCACACCAAAGTAGGCCTTCATGCAGATAATCCAGGACGTGATGGCCGCTTTTGCGTTGTACCTAGGCAGAACCGGGGCCACCTTCTTGTCCACGTAGGGACGGCTGTAACTGGGACCAGCTGCTGCTGGATCCGGGCTTGGGGCTGCGACAGTTGCAGAACTACCTGCGCTGTTGCTGCTGGCTGCACCTACTGCAGCTCCGTGTGCCACTCTCAGAGAAGTAATAGAGGGAGAAGAAAAAACTGTAAGTGGGGCCAGAACAGTCTGACCTGCAGCATTGGGAACAGGAGGTAGAGGAGGTGGGAGGCTGGTCAGTGCCTTCTGCAGGTCTGCAACCTTCTGTAACAAATCGCTGCGCTCCTTGGCCATATCTGCAATGGTCTTTCACAGATCACTCACCTGACCGAACAGTGGAAACCTGGTCAGGGAGATCACTGAACATGTAGACATCTATCAAACCACACACGTACATGACCAAGTGCGGTTCAACCTCAGAGTCAGGCAAGGAGGGAACTGTCTTAAAGACATTCTCATGGCCGTGTATAATGGCCTTCATCTTCTCCTCTTCTGACAATTCCACCTCCTTGGCCTCCTTCTTCAGTGCATTGTCATAGAGGGCCTGGTAAAGCGTCTTATCCTTTGCATCTGCTGCATCCAGCTGGGCCTTCAGTCTGACTGAAGCCTTTACTACTGCTGCCGCCATGTGAGTCCTACTGAGACTTTCAGCGGGCAAGTCAGAAAGGGAGCAGATCAGTCTCTCAAGGTGTGTGTTCCCTGGCTTTCTCTGCGGACGAACACTCCTCTTCCCTTTTCTGACACCCTTAAGTGAAGCACTCAATATTCTCTCTCTCTCTCTCTCTCTCTCTCTCTCTCTCTCTCTCTCTCTCTCTCTCTCTCTCTCTCTCTNCTCTCTCTCTCTCTCTCTCTCTCTCTCTCTCTCTCTCTCTCTCTCTCTCTCTCTCTCTCTCTCTCTCTCTCTCTCTCTCTCTCTCTCCCTCCCTAAAGTCGCCCAATGTCTTCTTGAAGTCTGCATTCCAGTTGTAGGGGCCTCTCACTGTCGCCTCGCTCAATTTGCATCACGAAGCTTCCTCCTTGTGTCTCGCCACCCCAACTTACACTGTTGCAACCTGGCAGGGTCAAACCTGCCAGTTGGGGGCTGCTTCCCTACACCACACTGCCCCACTTTCCTTCACCAAACGAACCCTAACCCTAAGTGGTGGCCTTAACCACTTAGTTTAGGGTTAGGGTAGCAAGTCAACTCTCACCAGCAAGTAGAATCCGCTATGATACCAATGTTACGATCCTGGCCAATTACGAAGTGCAAATTCACAAGAAAGTACAGTGCCATCCATTTGCAAAAGAAATGGGTGAACTTGAGAGAAGGGCGAGCTAGAAGAAGAAGAAGAAGAAGAAGAAGAAGAAGAAGAAGAAGAAAATGAAGAAGAAGAAACAGAAAGAAAGAAAAAGAAGAAGATGTTGTTCTATTTGCATCAGGTTGTCTGTCTCCTCCTGTTGGTCCCTCTGTTGGGTCCCAGCAATTTTCCAGACTAACCTTGGCGTGTTGCCCTCTATGTCTCCTATCTTTCCTTCCCCAAGTTTAAAAAAGAGAAACTCGGAGAAGGAAAGATAGGAGACATAGAGGGCAACACGCCAAGGTTAGTCTGGAAAATTGCAGGGACCCAACAGAGGGACCAACAGGAGGAGACCGACAACCTGATGCAAATAGAACAAGTCCAGTCCCAGACAGTTGAACTGGGATTGGTATAAATGGAAGGATGGTTTAAGGGGGGGAAAAAGATGACCTGAAAAGCCTAGGGTTTAGGGTTTAAGAGAAGGCCAAAGGTAGAAACAACAGTGCAGATAGGATATAGAGTACCTGGAAACCTAAAAGCTGAGAGGGATGAAGGTTAGAGATTAAAAAAACAACATAGAAGAACGAACAAGTTCACACGAGTTGTCTTGTAATGATCAGGTAGAGCTGTATAGAAATAATCCTTTGCAAAAACCTTAGACGTCAGCGCCAGACATCGGCTCTAGCGTTCAGGTTTATCCAACAGCACTTAGCTGAGAGGAGCTAGGAGCTAGGCGACTCATAGGATCAGAGGAAGTGGATATTGGCTAGCTTAGGCAGGAGTGAGGGGTGGTACATCGTACTACATCCTTCCCCAGGGAAGTAATCAATGCCGTCCACTCGGGCCTCTCGGCCATAATGGGGAGGAGCGTGCGTGTGTCTTTACCGTATTCATATTTGACTTGCCGGGGGACCAAGAAAATAGAGAAGAAAGATCGATGGGGGTACGGGTCTACCGGATCTAAAAATAACATCCTGGAACGTGAATGGGCTAGTTGGGATTTTAGACAATGGAGACAAGTGGCACAATGTAGTAAATTACTCAGAATGGTTTTCCTTGTACCCTCCGGATTTCTTGTGTTTGCAGGAAACACACCTACAAAAATCAGTAGGCCACCGGAAAACGAAGGACCAGATAGAGAAGAAACTGCAAAGAATTAAAGCAGCATGGTGGGCCCCAGCAGCAAACAACCATTCCACGGGAGTGGTAATACTACAGAACAAAAAGGCGAAAGCGGCAGACAAGATTATCATCACAGAAACAAGGGTGGATGAGGAGSAGGGCAGATGGGTCMAGATTKACTTYGAGYTGCATGAGGAACCCTATACGCTACTGTCGGTGTACTSTCCGAATGGTTATCAACAAAGAGTAGAAATGATCGAAAGGCTCAAGGATCTTCTGGATGGGAATAGGYATMTGATCTTAGCAGGAGACTGGAACGCCACCTTAGATCCTAGCCTTGAYARAATCTCAGGGGGCTTTAGATCTGAGGACGAGGGCTGGACAGAAGAGTCGCTACCGATCCATGGGCTAATGACGAATTTAGAGYTGTTAGACCCCTATARACTACTCTTCCCGGAAGAAAGACAATTCACCTACCGTAAGAGAAACCGTAGCCAGCACGTGTCGGCGTCCAGGATAGACTATTTCTTGACATCACCAGGCATAACGGGCATGTTGCACTCAGTAATCATAGGTAGCCTACCGTACGATGTAGGATTGGACCACAAACCTATCCTTTYGGGTTTGACATCAGATAAACAAATCAGCAGGGGTAAGRGGTTTTACAAAATTAATAACTCCCTCCTAAAAACTAAGGAAATGAGACATGCGGTGCTGCAAGTGTGTCAGGAACACAACCCGGACACACATTCATTCCCA